GAATAACAAAAAAAAATGAGCAGGTTACTCGCAAGGTATTAGATGAGTTATAGGTGATGTCATGTTATAAAACACTTTCTGATAATTAAGTTTCATGTTAAGGATCAGAGTGCATCAGATGAGATAATTGTAATAATTGGGTTAACTGATATATCTTTTTTGCACCCATTAATGAAAGTGTCAGTTTTGTGAATAATCATTTTTTGTCGATCATACCTGGAGTGGAGAAGGTCTATTTCAGCTCCAATAGTATGTGCAATGAGGAATTATTATCGGATGTTAACGCAAAAATATATTCTCCGGAGTTTCTCAACACCATATCATGCACCGGAATTCCACCACATAAGTTGACATTGAAAAAAGTGTTCCCGTTATGCTCATCAGAAATATTGATCAGGTCAGAGGATTGTGCAATAGAACAAGGTTTCAAGTTATTAATATTACTCATTTGTAGGTAATTATACTACGAACTTGCTATGGACTCCGCCCACTATATTTTATGAAGGTAATCTTTTTACAGTGATTTTATGCCATTAAACAGTTATATTGGTATTCCTTTGGTAATAATTTACCTATTTTTGTATGATCATGTACAACATATGCAGATCAGTTGCATTGTATTGAATTTGTTCCATGCGCTTAGGGCGGTTGGTATGAAACAAAATAACATTGATTGTTTGGATCAAATTCAAAATTTCAACGTTCATATATCATTATGGTTGTACAAATTTGGGACCAATGATATATTCGTTCTTATTGTGATGAAATTAAACTTTCAATATTTAGTTTTTTTCATTTATTCCGGCTTATTTCATCTCTTATACCATACAAATTAGTTTTTTTTTTTAATATTTTCTACTTCTTTGTATTACATATCAATAATTGATCTTACTATTTTGAGAACCTTTTTATTACTCAATATTTTATTTACGATGAATACCCCGTGCATCGCACGGGTGTAGTACTAGTATATATATATATATATATATATATATATATATATATATATATATATATATATATATATATATATATATAATCCTTGTATTTAACTATGTTTATATTTACACGTCATGTAGAGTTTTGAAAAAAGGTCATTTTCAAACAAAATTTATTTAATATGGAAAATGAGTTGGATTTAGGTATATTGGATAAACTATACCATATAATATGGTTTAATCCTATTTTGCATTCTTGAAATGGAATATTTCGGCAGTTTGCACCTTTGGAAAAAAATTAGTAGTACTTTGCTCTCTCAAAACATAATAAATCATTCACAATGCACTATGAATTGAATATTTAAAACTTAATAAAAGCAATATTTCATTTTATTTTTTTGTTTTTTTTTGTTTTCAAGGTGCAAAATAAACATATTAAATTGTTATGAGTAGGGGTGCAAGTTGGAACGGATTTTCCAATTTCTGCCAGTTCTGATCCGAAAAGTTCCAATTTTGGAATAATTTTTTTCATTCCGACTTCCGAAATTCTGATTTTCGAAATTTTCCGATTTTTTTGGATTGGAATTGGAATTATATAAAATAAATTTGGAATTTCCGATTTTCGATCCGATTTAATTCCGAAATTAATTCCGAAAAAATCAGATTTTTTTTCCGAAAAATACACCTATAAATAGTATATATTATATAATACTTATTTTCTGAAAAATGCACCTAGTTTTGTTTTAGGATTTTGACATAATGGATTGTTGTTAGAAGTTTTATTGGATATTATGCATTGTTTATTTTTATTTATTTTTTTGAACTGAAATTTAGTAGTTATTAGTTTTACTTTTATCGATGTGGATGTTCTTATTTTCGAAAAATTATAAACATTTTAGAAAATTTCGGCTACGTTTTGAAATTTTAAAGCTTATGTGATTTCCAATTTTTTTCCGAAATTCCGAAATTTCCGGGCCTTATGGAATTGGAATGAATTTTTAGATTCCGAAAATTTTGGAATTGGAATTGAAATTGATTTTGTACTTCCGAATTTTTTTGAAAATTTTCCGAAAAGGCTAATTCCGATCCGATCCATCCGACTTTCACCCCTAGTTATGAGAGTGGGGAAAGTAAAATTCACAACGAATTACTAAAGAAAATAAAATTCACAACTAATTACTAAAGAAAAAAAATATAACTTTTAAATATGCTGTCGATATGTATTTTTACTTTTGCACTTTATAGCTTCAAAAGAATTTATGAATAAAAAAATTTGATTACATTGACATTTAGCATTAAAAAAAATACCACCGAAAATATTAAATTTTGTAAAACTTCTAATCATTCGGATACGTATTGCATGATTTATTGTGTTTCAGGTACAACTGCTATTATTTTTTATTAAGGGTGCAAAGTGCTAAAACACATTATTTCAAGGGTGCAAAGTGATATTAAGCTATTTTATAGAAGAAGATCTCATCTGACGCGCAGCTATACGTGGTGGATAAACCACTAATGGTGGATCGATCTTCATTATTTATCAATTAAAAAAACATTAAAACAAAATTAAACACAGTAAACGTGAAATTCATCAACAGCCCACTTCGCCATTTCACAATTAGGTCAATTTCCGATAGTTTCATTGATCAAGGTTTCAGTTTTATCCAGCTCGAACCGTAGAAAATCAAAGGTACTCCACCAATCACCATACTTGTATTCTCAATTTTTATTTGCTAGCTGTTGATTTCGATCGGTTCAGCTTTTCCCTCTTTCGATTCTCTGTATTAATCTCTCTCTCTCTCTCTCTCTGTGTGTGTGTGTGTGTGTGTGTGTGTGTGTGTGTGTGTGTAATTTGTAATTTTTGTTTAGTAATTACTATCTTAATCAGGTGTCACTGGATTTTGATAAATGATTTGATTTGATTTCTAGGGCTTTATGGATGAACGTTTGATTTGTTTTGCAGAATTGAACCACACACCCACACACGCGCCCACACGCGCCACCCTCAATTTGACCTAAAATGGGAGGTGTAGTTGCAAAGGATGAATCTGCAAAGTCTTCACTGCAAGAAACGAAGCTCGAGTCGAAAATAATCGAGGCGGTGCAGAGGAGGGAGTTAAAAGGCAGCTCGATGAAATCCTTCAACAGCATCATCTTAAAGTTTCCGAAAATTGACGAGAGCTTTCGTAAATGCAAAACAACTTTCGACGAATACGGTAGCTACTCTCTCCGCATTTTACGCGCTATTCTTTCGTCTGTCAATTCACTCCGTCTTGTAAAATTAATCGTAAAACAGACGAGGATAAAAACGGGACGATAGATCTGCAAGAGCTGAAGCACTGCTTTCGCAAGCTGGAGATCAGTTTCACGGAGGAGGAAATAAACGATCTTTTTCAGGCGTGCGATATAAACGAAGACATGACGATGAAGTTCAACGAATTCATCGTTCTTATCTGCCTTGTCTATCTCCTGAAGGAAGATCCGTCCGACAAGGATGCTGTATCCATATTCCGATTCCTTCATCGATTTTATTTTTGCCCCGTTTATCGATTGTTTGTGTTAATTCCTTGACAATTGATAGAAATCGCAGATGGGAATGCCGAATTTGAAGGCGACTTTCGAGACTTTAGTGGATACGTTTGTGTTTCTAGACAAGAACAAAGATGGTTACGTGAGCAAGAGTGAGATGGTCGATGCGATTAACGAAACTACCTCGGGAGAACGCTCTTCGGGTCGAATAGCCATGAAAAGATTCGGTCCGTGCTCTCTTCTCGCAATACATATGTTTCTCTTATATGCTAATCTGAAATGTGTTAAGCGTCGTTTCAATTTTAATGGTACCGCTATGTACTTCAAATGCGATTTTAACCATTTTTAAACCCGAATTTGTCAAAATTCACAACACCACATATTGAGTTGACTTTCTAATACAACTTGAATCGGTTAGATTTATATGTCTACTTCAAACGTTATTTTGTCAATCTTACGGCCCGAATTTGGAAAAACTCAAAACATCAAAGTTGTAGCTCTTTAAATTTTCTTTCTAGCGCAACTTGAACCAGCTATATCGATGGCTGGACGAGAAAGTTATGCATAATCTTGAATTTACCGTACCAATAAAATTGACTTTGTTGTCTAATGATGGATTAGCTTCGTAAATTTCGACTGTTGTAAAGTGTTTTTTGTTTGGCAGAGGAAATGGATTGGGACAGAAACGGAATGGTGAACTTTAAAGAATTTCTTTTTGCTTTTACTCATTGGGTCGGGATCGAAGACATTGATGATGAGGATGACGATGAAAATGTGTGACCGAACGTTTATATGCTGTAAAATTATGAAACGTGTTCGAGTAATTGCTGCTGCATTACCGATGAATGCTGCCTCTTTTGGCGCAAATAGTGTTTGTATTATTTTTTTGGTTGAAACATATATATGTTCGAATTAAATCGTATGCCGATCCATGGCAGTTTTATAGTTGGCGGAAATATTACGAGTAAGCTTGGCTGTTATATGATTATATCATCCTTGTAAATGTTTATTGAATCACTAGCTATACACATATTACACACGTTTATATTTATAGCACGCCTAAGTTTAGATAGATGGATTTTAAGCTATGTAGAACTGACACGAGAACGCGGATACGGTGAAATGGATTTGGAGAAACTCTGTTTTTCAAAAAGTTAGGTACAAGAACGTAGGGAAATTTGTAAATATTAAAAATATAGGAGTACATTCGTAATTTAAAAAAAAATATTATAGTGTTTAACTTGTATACTTATCGTCAATTGCGTAGGGAAATGTATAAATATTAAAAATATAGGAGTACATTCGTAATTTAAAAAAAAAATATTACAGTGTTTAACTTGTATACTTATCGTCAATTGCATATTTGCATTTACAAATGTATATAATCTACAAGTTCCAATATGAATTGTCGTTTCACAAATTACATTCGGGACATATAAATTTATTTTAGTATGAAATTAACATTTACAAAAAATATTAGAACACCAATAGAAGTTTATTAACATTTTAGTATGCAATTATGAGTTTTTTATTTAAAACGAGTTTTGGAGTTTTTTTTTTTGGTGGAAACTCGTTTTCATTTTTTTCATCCTCAAAATATTTATTTATATATATAAAAACGGCCCCGAAATGTTTCCGACAAGTGTCATGACGTTTCGATTTCTGAAACATAGAAATTCGTGTGGATAGAAGTTTCCGTGCATCATAGATTTTAAATAAAACTAAAAATCAAACGAAACTACTCGATTTTCGATTCGAGATCTCGTGTCTGGGAGTTATAAAACTCGGGTCCTATTTAAAGGAATATGATAATAAAAAATCAAAATACTCGGGTTCAATTTTTATTTCCTTGTTAAGATTCAACTCAATTTCTTACCAAAACTTGAATTGAAAACAACTTTCAAAAAAATAAAAAACTCAAAAGGAAATTAAATTAGAATATAAAGTTGCCAAAGGCAATGCGCAATAGTAAGAACTGAATACATCAATGGAGGAAGCGATACCCTTCAAAACTCTCCACAGCAGAGAGTACCAAGGCCACAAGAAGAAGGTACAACCAATTTTCTAAACCCTAGCTAAATTAGGTGCTTCGTTTTTTCAAAATTTCTAGGGTTTTTGGTTGTCCGCATTCAATTAATTTTAGCGCTCTCTGTGAAATTCGATTTATGAATTTTTTCTGTGTTACAAAGGTCCATTCGGTGGCATGGAAT